CAGGGGCTAGCAAGCCTGCAGTTTTGAGCTTCCTGTGGCTTTCCATGCAGAAGTCACAGGAGGTTTTCTCTCAAGAATTTGGGGTGCTGTTTCTCCGAACCCCCTGAACCTATCTTGTTGAAAGTTGGCAGACTTTGTGGGCTCCTCAGGAGCTACCATTCCTGCAAGTTTCATCAAGATCAGACACGAAATGCCAAAGTTATAGCCTGCTGCGACCTTCCCCATTATAGCCTATGGGGGAGTCAAAGCAGCTCGAATATTTGACTGAGCTTTGACCTCGAGTTGAAGCAGACCCGCTTCCACTCGAAGCGGACGGCAAATCGAAGCAGGACCCGGTTTAATATTCAACATGGCTGTCGAATCGAATATTACCTGCTCTGCACAGCCCTACTGAACACCCCCAGTGGAGTAAATCTTACCACCATAGCAGGACATCCCCCACAAGCAAGTCACCTTGTGATTTTGCACCCGCCTCCTACAAAAACCTGTCTATGCTGCTAATATCACAGTCTTTATTATTTGCAGATTTACAGCAGCTGCTACAGGCTCACAGCAGTAGAACAAATTTCCCCATTGTGCCGGGGGCTGCATGTACAGCTACTGAAAGACAGTCCCTGCAATGAGGAACTTTCAACATGTAGCGCTCTCCTTAACTCCTTTCCTGTTTGCACTGTGCTCCTAGAAAGAAATAAGCTGAAATATTAAAACCCCAAAGTTTGCTGTGGAAAATCATGGATTTTTTTTTTTTAATTACTATTTTAGACAGACAAGGTTCATTTCATTTGAAAACTTTTTTTAGGCTGTTGGTTACTATTAAAGACACTGTTCCTGTAACACAACCTTCTCTCTAATACCCAGTTCCCTGAACTCAACCCACGCATGCCTGCCTATAGACACATTCATTCGCATTCTAATTAGAATGCAGCAGAGCAAACTTGATTAATCAAATCTGCTCCATATTCTAATTAAAACACTCCAGTGTCGCCTCACTGTCATGTGTATTAAGCCCCCCTGCATTTCAAAATGGCCACAGGGATGCTTTAACTAAACCTCATTGAATGAGTTTTAGTTAAAGTGCCCATGCAGCCATTTTTAAATGTTCGGGTGCTTAATAAATGTGAGGGTGACCTGTTTTAATTAAAGCGGCTATCCTGGAACCACTCTAATTAAAACACATTCCCCCCCCACCTTTGATCTTGTATATAGGCAGCCCATGTATGTTTTCAAAAGCTCCATGCTGGAGACATCCAGTTTCTTTATAAGTAGCATCTTGTTCCCTGCCCCAGAACAGCAGGAACCTATCATGCTTTGTTCTGGGTTTCCCCTAATATGTATCACCCCCAGTGCACTCAAGAAATATAATCTAAAAAGTTCTACAGCATGTGAAAGGAGGCAGAGCTATGGTATATGACACCCTATGGAAGGAAGAACCTTACTGTGCTGATACTGCCATGCATCTTCCCACCTTACTGGTGTTGCATAAATTGCTGATTTTATCCCCTGGAGGCTAGTCCGATTCACCTCTAGAAGAGAGTCACACTTTCAGGCTGGGTCCAACTCTATTTTATTGCTTGCAAGCAGGCCGACAGAGGAGCTTGTTGCTCAAATCAGTGTCGACCCTAAACAAAGCGCGCGCGCTGCTTTTATTGAGCTAGCAATTTTTAGTTGGCGTGTTACATTTTGATTGGTCATTACAAAACAAAACCTGGGCAACATGTAAGACATGCGTAGTGGGCCATCCTGTACCATGTGGGTGGAAAGTTACAGAATGCAGGGGTTAATACTAAAACAAGGAACAAAGAAACATAGAGAAAAGTATCTATTTTCGCTACACTGGTACTCTGCAGAATCACACCTACCGCATTGGAAAGTACCATTGTGGAATGTTCATTGATGGCAATTAGCCCCTCCCCAAGATGGTGCCTTTTCAGTCTGTTGAAGAAAGACCTTAAACCTCGCTCCAGTTTGGCAGCAGAATCTGCTGCTCCATAATACTTCCAGATTGGTAACCTGCATGGGGGTAGGCAAAAAGAAAGGAGCTTGCTTGATGCGAAGAGGTATTATTGGTATGTCTGTCTTCTCACAACTGGGCAGATGTTGTGACCAAAGTCTTTGGAAACACTGAGGGGTGCAGAAAGGGGAAGTATGGGGAAAACACCGAAGGCATTTACCCATTAAAAAAAATGTGGTCTAAGCTTACTTGAAACAGAACTTTAGTGCAAAAATGTATGTGAATATTTATCCCCAGCCAACCACGCTTTTGTATCATGGATTCTAACTCCATTAGTAACTGTGGTAATACTTCTCCTCACCAGAAGGAGAAATGCTTCCATTCATTTTTTTTCTTTTCAGTCCACTGGGGGACCAGATGGCTCAGGGCACAGGGTAATGGCCAATGGAGCTTTTCACTCTCAAGGTTGATAGGGCTGATCCTATCCTGATTGCATGAGGACCAAATGTGGGTGCCGGTGGAAGGCTGTGGTGTCTTAAGATATGGACATTTTTGTCACAGTGTAGCTCTCTTACCCTAGTATGTCTGTGTTTGGCAGCCTCCTCTCCTGTTCTGAGAGCTGGCTTCCCACCTCCTGGTGGGCAGACGTGATGTTTTGACTGATGCACACCATATACTGCAAGGGAATCATGTCTATGCTGGAAGGGCTCTCCAGGCAGAAGTGTTTGTTACTCTCCACTGAGAGGAAGACAGGGACATCAGGTGCAATCGTTACTGTTACCCCTTTGGAGACAAGAGAAAACAGAAAAGATAAAGAAGTCCCATTTCAGTTGTTTTTCCCCTTTCTTCACCCAAGCTCCTCTCTTCTCTTATGAAATCTCTGTGGTTTTCTGTTAGCATTCAGCAATTTTTGCCAAAGGTGTTGGCCCACTATACTGTATTGCTGCACATGGATCCACCCATTCAAGTCCTTGTAATGCCATGGGGCCAGGGGGATTACACAAATGCAGATGAGGTGCAAACTTGGCAGTGAACACTGGTGTATACTACATAATTATGGGCCAGGTCTGTGGCTGATGCAAATCAAACTAAATCCATTGATACTGAACAGAGGTTCATTAGTTATACCAGCAGAAGCTGGTATACCAGTCTCGTAAGTAGGTTCTCAAACTACCTACCTACTCGGTGCTGCCAACACCTTTTGAGATTGGCAGACATGATTTATGATTTAATATTTACTCTTCACTAATGATAGTTTGTTTATTTTCTATTTGCACCTTCTGCCTGGGAAATTATGTGAATTTATATCATAATCACAGCAGGAAGTCCAGTGTGCTAGGTACTGCACAAAGATCTGGTGAGACAGTGTCCATGTCTCAAAGCACTTACAGTCTAAACACACAAAAGAGATGCATGTAGGAAGAGAAACACAGGCACAAAGACGTGACATGGCTTGCCCATGCTCTAACAGCAGATCAGTGATATAGCTACTGAAGAGACAGACCCTACGCAAGATAACAGACTCTTAGTACTGAAAGATGGGTAGCCAGAAAGCAATCAGGGATTATAGTTACTGGATTGGGATAAAAAGAGTGATCAGAGCTCAGAGATAAGCCACAGGTCAGGAAGCCAGGGAGTCAGAAGGCAAGCAACATAAGCAAGTTGAGTTGGGAAATCAAGAGGAGAGTGAAGTCCATGAGCAAGCCAAGTCAGGGAATCAGGATGTCAAGAAGCAAATAGTTTATTAGGGTGAAGTCTAAGATCAGAAAGAGCCGTATTTCCCAGACACCTTTTGGTCCTTTTTTGGGTTTTATATAGGGGAAGTATATGTCAGGTGCCAGGTACCAGGCACTCAGGTTTCAGGGAGAAAGCAGAGACTTGGGCACTGGTGAAAGCTTTAGGCAGATCTCATCCATCCTTTGGGAACAGCAGCAGGGTAGCAGGTTGAGGTAAATGACTACTGGCCAGGCCAAAGCCCTGGATTCAAGGTTGCAGGCTTGACATAAGATTTAGTATAAACTTAATTGCTCTACGCAAGATAGCATTTATAGTGGTAGGGCTGGAACGATGTAGTTGTGATGGTACAAGAAATACATGAAAGGCATATTTATAGTGACATTTTTAGCATGGCTTTGTGCTTTAACACAATAAAGGCCACATGAACCTTCACTCAGTGAACTAGTTCCTCCATTCTTGCTTGCGAATGAGTAAGTTTGACAGCTAGCAAAAGACAGGGTTGAGTTTACTTCAAGAACTAAAGAAAGGATGTGAGAGATAACTGGGTGAGTGACTGATTTCGTTGGGCAACTGATTATTGTTACGGATTTGCCAATGTCTACAACAGATGCTGATGCCACATGGTGCAATTGGATAATCTAGCCTAGACATGGAGGCTGGAGTCATTTTCTTAAGCGTCAACTTGCTTTTTTCCTTCATTTTGAGGCATGCCAAATGTGACATTGTGGAGGTAGACATCTGAAGGAAACTGCTAAATGAAGGAGAACTCTCCAAACTAGCCATAGTCTGGTGTTGAGTCCTAGTGCTGAGATTAGAGGAGGTTATCTACCTCCTTGGCTTGCTATCTGCTTGATCTGCCCACCATTCCAAGGGAGGTGTTAAAACCATCCAGAAAGGAAAAATTTGCAGCAAAAATCCAAGGTCTGTTGGGGGTGTGGGGCTTTCTGGGTCACAAGCTGTATCAAAAACACAGCCCTTCCAATCAATTATATCAGGAGCAAAGGAAGTCACAACATCCACACTAACCACCTAACCTTGACCCATCTCTCTCATACCAATTAGCAAAAAGCTCTAAGTGCCTTTCCTCATGTTAGGTCTGTGACCTCAGTTACAGCTCCCTAAAACATGGGAGCTGAAGAGTTCAAATCCCTTTTTCATTTAAAATATTTTCCAGTTTTACCTTGAGAAACATTTTTTCTACTTGGGCCTGGAAGTATGTAGCAGGTTCCAACACATGAATGAGAGCAGTAAGTATATCCTGTAAACAAACCTTAAACTTCTCCTTAAGGTTATTACATTGCATCTGCTCCTAGTTCTGTGAACATCCCCAGAGAAATGGAGCTGCTACTGGTCAGTAGAAACACTGCTGAAAACTTTCCTGTATCAAAGTATCTTGGTTACAGTTGATATTCTGTGTTTACATTTGGGGGGCTGGGAAAGGAAGCCAGGTTAACTACCTGAGAGTGAAACTCTAGGAGGAAAGCACTAATTGACTTTGGAGACTGTAGTACAGACAAAAATGTATTTGGTTTCTAACCCGAACTATTCACCCAGCTCAAGTCTGATGTCACTGCCATGAACAAGACTTCTCCAGTTGTGGTTTTCATTTAAGCAAACAGCAACCCCCTTGAACCTCCTGTTTGAAGATTACAAACTCATTGCTTGATGTGTTAATTTGATCATTTGACTAAATTGAGAATGAAAGCCACTACTGGTGTGAATTCATTTAGCTGAATTTAATTTGATAATGGCATTGTTTAACCCCTTATTTAGCAGTCTGTAGCACCTGAATTTTAGAGATACTTTTTATTTTATTTTACTACTTGTAATAGCATTTATAAAAAAGCAGTTTTAGAATTTTTTTCCCCTTCAATGAGCAAATTGAGCACGTACGAGGGACAGCCTTCATGGCTATTATTAGTTGATAAGAGTCCAGAGCCTGCTTCCCCAATTACCCCTTCAGTTCCCACAGCCAGGAACAGAAAGCAAGTCTCCCAAGTCCCAGTGCAGTGCCTTCCCCATTAGCTTCTGATTACCTCTCTGGTTCTTCTGCACTAGCCCAAAAGAATTGTGTTTGGGAGCACAACCCTGCAGAGGAAAATGCTTGCATTAATAAACTTTCATTAACCCTTCTGTAATTTCATGTATACATTTCTGCTCAGATTGGCTTTTGCAATATCTATTTTTATTACAAAAAATATTATTTTTATATATTTTTACCCAGAGCCATTGCAGGGCTGTGCTTTGCTGTGGGCAACAATGATACATAGAGCTACACCAGCTATTGCACTGCTGGTGATGGTGGTGCATCCCACCCAACAACTACATCAGCAATTGTTGCACTCTTCCCTGCAAAGGTGGCACCTGGGGACTGCTACTCTGATGTCCCTCTCCCCTGATCAGTTATGCCACTGTTTTCACCCTTCATTATTTGACTGCTTAGCAGGGCCCTTTTGAATTAGGACTGGAGGGTGAGAAAAGTCAGAGAAAGCAGGACTGTTTGTAAGAGGTGAAGGGAATGCAGGATCAAATTCTGTTACCTCAGTTACCTCTGTGCACTGTCACTGAAATGATTGAGAGCTGCTGTGTTGAACTGCATATAGCCTGAGTACATCTTCCATTGGCTAGGCACAGGCTTTTTGATCTCTAAGGATCCAAACAAGAACCTTCAGTTCCATTGCTGGAAAGGTGCGCAGGAAGTGGCAAGGTATTGCTTAAGCTCAAGACAAATCCTTACCATGTCTAGAATTACACTCTGAAATTCTGGAGCCACTTACACCAATTGAACACCAGTCCAGCTCCACTAATTTTAATGGAGTTTCTGATTTTTGCTAGTGGAGGAGGGAAGTCACTGAATCATAGAAAATGAGGGTTGGAAGAGACCTCAGGATGTCTGGTCCAATCACTGCCCAAAGCAGGATCATCCCCAACTATAGCATCCCAGCCAAGGCCTTCTCTAGCTGGGTCTTAAAAACCTCTAAGGATGGAGATTCCACAGCCTCTCTGAGAAGCCTGTTCCAGTGTTTTACTACCCTCCTCCTGAGAAAGCTTTTCCTAATATCTAACCTCAAATTTCCCTTGCTGCAACTTGAGACCATTGCTCCTTGTTTTGTCATCTGCTACCACTGAGAACAGTCTAGCTCCATATTCTTTGGAACCACCCTTCAGGAAGTTGAAAGTTGCTATGAAATCCCCTCTCAGTCTTCTCTTCTCCAGGCTGAGTAAGCTCAGTTCCCTCAACTTCTCCGCAGAAGTCATGTGCCCCAGCTCCCAAACCATATTCACTGTCCTCCGCTGGACTCTCCCCAGTTTGTCCACATCCTTTCTGTAGTGGGGAGCCCAAAACTGAACACAGTACTCCAGATGTGGACTCACCAGTGCTGAACAGAGGGGAATAATCACTTCCCTTGATCTGCTGGCAAAACTCCTACTAATGCAGCCCAGCATGCCATTAGCTTTTTCTGAAGAGCTACTGCTTACCCAGTTGGTCCCCAGCCTGTACTGATGCATGGGACTGTTCCATCCTAAGTACAGGACTTGACATGTCTCTTTATTGAACCTCATGAGATTTCTTTTGATCCAATCTTCCAATTTGTCTAGATCTCTCTGAATCCTAGCCCTACCCTCCAGCTTATCTACTCTTCCCCCCAGCTTGGTGTCATCTGCAAACTTGCTGAGGGTACACTCCATCCCATTTCATGGGTCGTTGATGAAGATACTGAACAAATGCCTACCACGTAAGCATTCTGTATGTTTTCACGGTCAGGACTCTTTATCAAAGCCTGGGAGCTTTGTGGTTCTAAGACAGCATATTTTTAGAGGGAGCCCAAATTTTAAAAAAATACAATAAACTCACCATTTTGAGCAATCCCAGAGAATTAACAGGGGGACTGCATGGTTTTTGGTGTTTGGGAAATAACAAGGATTTGGCAGTTGCTTAGACAAGCACAAAAATGCAGACACTTACATAGTGGCTACCAAATACCTGTGCATACATGCATATGCACGGAGATGAGAAGGGGACTGTGTGCTGTGCTGTATACTAT